TTCTGTCTTTTATGCACGTTCCTGGAAGGGCAATTATTTGTTCAATTTATGTAATTCGATATTAATTCGCAGAGAAATCCAAAGATGATATATTGGAGGCTGCATGTAATTTCCTGTATATCGAGGAATTTATATTTTCCAGCAAATACCAATAGCTTACATCTGAAATTGGAATGTATTATGGAACGTATTTTTAATAAAAAAATTTTATATTTCGTGGAAAATACCTCTCGTTTCAAATTTTTATGGAATATATATATGAAAAAAGTATATATATATATATTTTTTTAATTAATACGAGAGCCGAGACTAATTCTGTGAATAAAAGGAAGAAAATAAAAATTTAATGACTGTCCGACTTATAATAGGACTGTACTATTACCTGACCAATACTTTAATTTTTTATTTTATATCCTCCTTCCTCTAGAAAGATTGATCGCAAATCAAGGAATATTATTGGCTATCAATCGATGTCGATTCTGTCTTCGTATAGATCATAAAATACGAAGAATATCGCATCGCGGGCAACATTTATCTAAATGAATGTACAAGCTAGTTTTCACTGGATTCTTACATCATAAGATATCACGTGTACAGAGATGTACATCATCACTTCCGAGTAAACGAAGCCGACTAAAAACCAACAACGAAGTCTCAAAAGTGCAAACCAATCACGCGGCTGGCTCGGATACGTAACTGCACCTGAAAATACACAATATTAATACAAATGAAATAAAAGATTCTCGAAAATTATCCAACCATCCTCTTCTTAATTAAATCTTCCCATCTTCCAATATCCACTACATCTACTTCCTAGATAATCTTATCAATCCACTAATATTTATTTACATGCGACACGTATTCGTTTTGTAACAAATCCTGTTCAATAATTCAACTTGGTCGATCGACACCTACAAGAAAAAAAAAAAATAAAACGTAAGAAGATTATTTATTTTTTTCCCTTGATTCCGAACTACCGTGTTATCTGGTGAAAAAAAAGAGAGAGATTCTAGTAGCACCAACCACCGGATCCATTCCAACGAATCGTAAATCCCAATCGGGGCTGGGCTCGTAGGAAACTACGAGAAATCGGAGAGTTTCGTATATGCATTTCGGTGTACGAAGCAAATCCCCGCCCGAATCCCGCGGCTTTCGAACATTAATAAAACCGTTTTAAGCCGCAGCGAGTCTCGTCGTCGAGGATAACTCGAGATAATTGAAATCCACACCGAGTGCAACGTTGCAACGATAAACAAGATGGAGAGTAACAACGTGTCAACGGAGTGAAGGGAGAAGAATCGTCACCAGTCGTGTGAAATTCAACCGTAATCACAATTTTCGCCGAGGAGAAATTATCGCGATCAAATTATACGCGGCGTGGAAATGTACGATTTTGATAAGGGAGAGAGAAATTATCACGGTTAGTGGTAGAGGAAGGGAGGGTCGCAAATCAAATCACGGTGGAGGAGCGGAAAGAATGCCATAATGTTCCGGAAAATGCGAGATTCGACGACGAGGATGCGTCGCATTTGTGATTTAATGAAACGTTGCACGATATAACGAACGAGTATTTTGTTTGCGAAAGTTATGCGAACCAGAATTTTTCGAAATATCTTTGAAAATTCTTTTCCTGTTTTTGATAGTATATATCTTGTCTCGGATTATATATAAACGTAGAGTGTGAATGAATGTATAAAATGACGAACGAGAGGATCCAGAGAAAGAGGGATTAGATTATTTAGAATTTGGAGAATCGAGAATTCGAGTGATTTCAGAAATATTGTTTCTAGAAAGGGAGGGATATCTTCTAGAAAGAGAGAGCATGCGTATTATTCCTCCACTTTTTAATAATATACTTTTTTAACGAGACGATAAATATTTAAAATGATCTTTTATCGATAAATGTATCCGCTCGATTAATTTCATTTACTTATCTAGTTCGAGCGAATCTTTGAGATAAAAGCGCAGCCAGAAAAGTGGAAAATCATCTTGGAGAGTCAAAATGATTTAAATTCGTAATACGCGTGACTCGTCCAGATTTCATAGGAATGTTATAATTAATTCTTCCTCTAAAGGGAACCTTATTAATATTTAATTCGACTTTACTAATACTACTCGATCGGAATCCATAAAGTGTTCATTAATATTCAATTCGTAATCGTGACTCTCCGATACTCCGTTTCCAAAGAGGATGCAACGATTTCGAAATTTGCAATTTCGCTTCACCCATCCGAACGAATTTCTGATATTTCTGTTTTAACGAATTTTTTTTTTTTTTTGCCCCAATTTAATCGATACGTACGAAATATATAATATTTTTTTCGAAAATAAAATTGCACGCCATTTATTTAAAATATTGTATGTTACATTTAATCGAAATAATTATAATAATGAATTATAGTTCCATTATTTTAAATTTATAGAAGAGTTGTCAGTCCCGAGAAAAAATTTTTTTTGAAAGTTTATTAGAATTTCGAAACAATTTATTCGTAAAAAAAATTCAGAAAAATCGTACGAACTTTCTTGATTATTCGTAACCTTCGATCTCGTTAACGTATTATTTTATATTATAATAATTTTTTTCTTTTTTTAACGAGAAATTAATGACTACGAGGAAAAAATTTAATATTACGTTAACCCGTCGTTAACATTCATCTATTGGAAAAAATTTACAAACGATATTAATAATTCTCGTAATTCTCATTTTTCAGAACCAACGTTTCTTCGAAATCACGTTGCGATTATCAATTCGAATAACACTCGAATGGGATCGAAATTTTGATTAATATTTCACCCTCTCCCCTTTCCTAAACAACTTAATCGATCAATCATCGTACGAATTCTATTTAATTCCACCGATATCGCGATTCGATTGTCACCGATGACCACCGATTCTGAATTGATGACGATGGGTGTACACAGCCCCCTCCCCGTTACGGGTCATTTGGTAAGGGATGGATACCAGAAAATCTGTCGTCTCGATTTCCAAGCGTGCGCCAACTTTCTCGTGAAAGGTAAGGACGTTAATAGAAGAGACATTTCCGGAATCGGTGACTCGAGAAGACTTGGACGAAACTTATTTCTCTCTTTCTCTCTTTATTCCTTCTTTTCTCTCCCCTCTTTTTATTCTACTTTTTACTCGTTCATCGATCAGTTTCGTGTCGTATTCTCTAATCAAACGATCGAACGAAGCAAATGGAACATTTATAAATATTTTACAATTAAAAAAAAATAAATAAATAAAAGAGAAGATAGACGAATCTGTAGATAATTATTCTCTAGATTAAAAGAGCAAAGATGAAATAAATTTTCGATATCAACGAAATATTTCACTTTTGTTTCCCATTTCACCTGTTTCGTAATTCTCACTGGGAAATATTGGGAACGAGAAAGATCGAATAAATTCCACGATCTCGGATTTCAACGTGGACGTGCGTGAAACAAGCGATGGCCATCGGTGGTTAAACGATGCCGCAGATAGCGCGACTTTGCTCGTGTATCGCAAGAATGATACGCGTGACGGAGAAAAAGAATGGGGCGAGGGTTTTACGAGGGTGAATATAAACGTTTGCGAACAGCCACGCAAATACGAAAAAGCAGATAGCGCGACCGTGGCGGAGATACAACGCGATCAGACCGCAAGGATTCCACACAACTTTTTTCCACGGAAAAAAGATTTTCTCATCCCCCTCCATCGTTTTATTTTTTTCCGTGACGCGACCCTTTTTAATCATCGTTATTACCGTGGAACGAGGAACGCGCTTTCCAGTCTAATTCTGTTATTACTCGAATCCGTAATTTCGGCCTTCCATCTTTCGCACTCTCGTCACGTTACAATTCTTATTTGTGATAAACGAATTTTTCCAGGATCGTTTAATCTAAAATATTTTCGCATCCATCGTTCGTGTCTTGAAGTGGTTTGTTTGCAATCTACTCGACTTTTTTCGGATGTTTTCAAGCCAGAAAATCGATAAACGAGTACGGTGAAATAACGAATATATTCGGTATACATATTTTTTCCTCTTTCTCTTTTTACATAGAGATGCAACACTATTACAAAGACAAACCGTCACGGCTCAAAAGAAAGAAAAGTATCAAACACGCTTGGATGTTATCCGAGCAGATCGCGATGAGCAAATCGCATTTTGTACAGACTTTAATAAAATACTCCAAGCTGTACTGCAAGTACACGAAACTGGCAGGATTCAGATACTTCGTGGAGTCTAAAACAACGTGGTTCGACAGGTAATTAATTTCACACATTAACATTTACACGATACCTTGATGTAAAACGATCGATGCATCGATTGACGATATTAAAAAAAATATATATATATATATAATTTCACTTAAAAGAATAAAGTAGAACTTCTTGCCGCTGTTTTACACTTTAATGTAACACACCGTCCAACTTTCGCGCGAAACATTTTTCGCTGCGAATAATACTGAGAAAATCAAGATGTCAAAATCAGGCGAGACTGCGTATAACGTCGTCTCTCGTGTCGACGAGAGAGCTTATTCCAGGTGTAAATATTTAGAATTTACCGTGTATACCACCGTGTGTACCACGGTGCTTGTTTACTGAAATTCGCGCGCGATTCCACGGGGAGGAAGAAAGTTTCTCGCGCGATCGAGTTTTTTGAACCTCGAAATATATATATTAGAAACGATATTTTTCAGAACTTTGTGGTTCCTGATGTACGCCGTCACGGTACCCGCGATGGTCTACATGGTTTACAACAGTTATCTGGAATTTATGGAGAATCCGTTGTTCACCAGCGTCGAAACCGAATACTTTCCGACACACGAATTGAATTTCCCGGGTAAGTTGAACGCGCTTTTGCGCAGTCGGCTTCAAAAAGATAATGTGACGTAGACGCGGAGGAGAATCGAAAGATCGTTTGCGTCGATTGGTCCTGAAATCTGCCGAGAATCCTTCTGAGAATTGGACAGTTAAAAATGGTTGAAAGCTTTCCAAAGTTACCGATTGCTGAAATTGTTTGAAAGCTTTATTTCAATCGTAACACACTCCTTTTATTTTTTATCCATTAACGATTTACACAGCGTAAACGCAACACTTGTTTGCAATTCTTTTTTTCCACTCGATTCGCATTATTGCATCGTGTGTATGTGTGTGTGTGTGTGTGTCTGTGTACGTGTGTTTTTTACACTCCAGTCGCTGGAACCAGTTATTTCAAGAATTTTCTTCCTATTTTTTCTTTTTTTTATATTATTATCTGCGTTTAGTATGCACAATTTTATGAAATTTAAAAACATTTGGAACTTTTTTCTTTAATTTATTTTAATTTCTATTATTTTGATACACATTCACTATAAATTATTTATTAAAACTTTCACGCAATATTTACCTCGATTGTTTGATTTTTAACGAAAAAATATTTTTCGAAATTCTGATCATTCGCTACTCGTAACGAAATCCCTAGGAAAATCTAGAATTATTCTAATATTCGAAAAATATTTTTCCAGGGATAGCAATTTGCAGCGTGAATCGAATAAGTCGTCAATCGGCCACGAAATTAGCGAACGAAATGTAAGTATGATCGAATGATTCCCTTTTTTTTTCCCCCCCTCGAGCCAAACAATTTCGAGATCCAGCTTGGTTAAGTTAATCGAACACGGGACAGCGGATAATTTTCAATTGCAGTTCTCCGAGTTACGTTTGGAATTGGCCCTCGTTCATAAACGAATCTCACCGCTATTTTCCCGCAATTCTCGAAAATTCTATTTCGCGCACGTTCCAAAATGCGGAAAATTCGCGTACGAGTTTCATCGCGTATTATGAGAAAACTTATCGCGCGGAAGTTATCGCGAGTCTATAGAAGCCAAATCAAGTTTAAACTTACGAATTTGCAACTTCGTTCGTTCCTCGAATGGGAGGAGGTGGAAAAATTCTTACCAACTTTGAAGGTGAGGGAATGATCGAGGGAACGAACGAAAGGGATGATAATATATATCTCTCCCCCCGAAAAAAGATAAACATTTTTACTTGAACATGCACAAATTTCGTATCATCGGGAAATAATGGCCAGCTGGTATTTCCTCGATGAAAGGGAGAGGAATTTGTTAAAAAAGGATTCGTGAGCGCAAAAAAGCGTCCCTAATTAGCTTCGAATTTGCAAAAACCGGCCATTAATATTCAGTTAGCGAGGGTTACTTTAAATCCACGTTGAAAAAAATTCTCATTAATATGCAATTCTATAACTGGTTCGATGTAACGAAAGATAAAGAGAGTGGGATAAAGATCGATTACCAGGTCTATCAATATTGAAACAATATCGAGATTGTTTGGCTCGGTTATATTTTATATAACAGAAAAGATAAATATTTAACTTGATCCGTGCAATTTTATCCAAATCGAATTTGATACTAATATTTCCTTTCTTGTTAATCTTTCATACGCAGGGAAATAGAATTTTTAATTTAATCTTAACAGTTTTCAGGGAGGATCGATCCATCGTTTCCCATCTATACATTTTATCGTGTTTGATCGTTTACTCAATCTCTCACGCTGACCACCATATCCATGAAAATTTCCAATTTAAAAAATTGCATCCACCCTTTGTACACATCGCACACTTTCCAAAGCCTCGTATAAATAAAAACTTCTCTCCAATTCTCTCTCTCTCTCTCATCTTCCCCATTAATCAAAATTAAAAATTAATTCAAGCTCCGCGGCCAATATCACCGATCTATCGCTCGACGAGATCTTGGAGGCGATCTTCCAGCTGGGCGATCTCTATGACTCCGAGTTCATGATGCAAAATACCTATCAAATCGATCAACTTCTCACGATCTTCTACAACGGTTCTTACAGCATCACCGAACTGATGAAACGAGTGAGCCCAATTATAACACACTATATATATATATAACTAACAATTTATCTTTAACAGAATTCCTGTTCAATTATTACCGAATCCCTCTACGAACGTTTCAGTTAACGCCACAATGTTCCTCCATGCTGTCAAAGTGTCGGTTCCACGACGAGGAACGGAACTGTTCCGAGCTGTTCGCATTCCGCAAGACGCAGAACGGTTTCTGTTGCACGTTCAATTATGCCACCAAAGGGGACGATACGCATTTGTGAGTTTAACCAAACCCCTTCACTCACGCGTCATTTATTTCATGCGAAATCCAGAGGGTTGAAAAATTATTTCGCGAACAATCCAACGAAATTTTCAATTTTTTCTTACTCCATTTCTCCTCACGGCGACGTGTTTCGTAGCACGAATCGTGAAAATGGGACGGACCATCGACTGGAGCCGATCAAGGTTGAAAATTTGACCGAGAGCGGTGGGCTGTCGGTGCTGTTGAAATCATCTCTGGACGATTACTTCTACCCTATTTTCCCCAGTGCCGAGTGGAAGGTAATTTTTCATCAGCTTGCGCGGAATATTCAATTCCAATTACAGTTTGCGTCTACGTAGTCTTTAAGATATTCTTCTAACACTAGACGATGCTTAAAGGATGCTTCTTTGCATTTTTTCCGTTCATCATTAAAATTTTATCTTAAAATCAAATCGTCGCAATAATGTTTCAAGAAAAATTGAGAATGGATTTGACTTCAACTGATGATAATCCAAAAATATTATCTCAATTATCACGAGAGTTAATGGATTATTCAATTCAATAATATAACGAAACTAAACGTGAGAGACAGAGTTAGTTAATTATTACGAAAGATACGGCGATCTTTCGCGAATTGATATCAATATCGTAAATAAATTTCGAGGACATCGTCGAAATCCGATCGGGTTTCATCGGTTTTTCGAAATAATTCTAGAGATCAGGGAGAAACGGGTCGATCTTAATGAAACTGGTGGAAATATGGGTCGTGGTCGCTCGTGACGATTATCTCGCGTGGCAGTCAAGGGTCGGTGCATTATGCAAATTGCACTTTTTTTTTCCTCGCGAGCAACGATTCATCTACTGCCGTAAAATATATCATACGAATATTTCACGCGTCGCTGGTCAATCTGAAACCGTGAATTCTTTGTTATTCGTGACTATTGAAATATTCTTCGAAGAATACACGATTTTGTTCTTTATTGATTTCCCTCCCTCTCTTTTTCTTTAAAAATTAGATAAATTTGATGATTTTTCGGGGTCAGGTGACGATCTTCAATCCCCACGATTATCCAGACATGGCTAGCGGAGGAGTAATCGACTTTCTGGTCTCGCCAAGGAAACACCGGAGCGTGGAATTAGAGGCAATCGTGTCTTACAGTATAAGGAGCATTATACCATATCCTCTTGAGAAACGAGACTGCGTGTTCCAGGATGAAATGACTTCCTTTCACATGTTTTACACTTACAGCGACTGCATCGTCGACTGCAAGATAGAGGACATATGGAACATTTGTAGATGCGTACCCTTCTTCTTGCCCAATCGAAGTAAGAATCATCGAAGTGATTCATCACCATTTTTCGATTATCAAAGTTAAAAAGTACTTTATCTTAATCGTTTCACTCAGAACGAAGATTAATTTGCATAATTTCTAAATCTTTTCATTTCGTCCGCCTTTTCATATTTGCTCCATTGTACACATTTACTCTTTCCATCCATTATTTATCTTGTCTACTTTTTATTTTATTTATTTCAACTTTTAAAATTAAATTTGAAACGAAGTTTCGTTTTAATCTTAATCCCTCCACTTGTTACCTTATTTAAACTTTACTTTCACACTCTTATCTTTCCAATTAAACGATAATCTTTATTCTGTGTTTATTTCTCCTTTTAACAAAAATCACACAAGGAATTTGTTTGCTCTTTCATTCATTCCTTTCCGATTTTGTTTCACGAACCCTTTCTCGAATTCAACTATTTCAAAATTTTAATTCCTTAATCTGGAAAGAAAAAACAAACGCAGTCTTCCATTATTTAAACGCGTGATGTTTTAAAAGCGAAGATAATACCGCAAGAAAATGTTCAAAAGGTCCCTCCATCTTCTATTTTCACTTTCATCCCCGCGTCGAAATGAACCGCGGCTTTTGCCAGACATTAACGACTTCCTGTCTCTTCTTCTCCCGAGATTAGACGCCACGAGATTCGACTCATCTGTTGAGGAACGTGGTGCGCCGTGCTTTTGACTTCAACGGGGGCTTAAAGCGTTAAAGCGGATCGCGCGAAACGCGGAAATAAGGGAGGAACGGGCGGCGAATCCAGGCCTGGAATCTCGAAATCGTTTATTTTCCTTCTTTATCTCTGTGAATCCTGAATACCCACGAAAAAATCTTCGTGTTCCCTATTTAACAAGGAAATTCATCTACTGGAAAATTTCAACCGATAAATCGTGTTATCATAATTCCTTTTCATATGAAATTTTGAATATTAATTCAATATAATGTAATATATGAATTATTGTATATGGAACAATTTTTCTTAATTAGTGGAATCTTTATCTTTTCGAGGGAATAAAATCAATCTTCGAAGTATTACCTTTATTCTTTTGAATTATTAAACAAATTTTAAAGTATAGATATATTCGAATTTTGTTTTACTATGTCTTGTAAAAAATATTTCTTGTAAAATGAAATTATATACACGAAAAAATGATAAAAATTTCGTTCGTTCAAAAACATTTTACTCGTGTATAACAAGGATTTGTGACTATCTGCTGCATCTCTTAAAAATTATTATGAGATGGAGATAAAAATTAAAATTTCATTCTTAAGACCATCATCTTTATTCTTCCTCTTGAATATTTCTAAACTATTCATTGTCATCAATCGAGTAACATAAAAATCGGAGAACGACGAATTTAATTGCCTTCTCCCCAAAATTTGTTTTTTATCTTTCCTGTTAACAAGCTATTCTCGAGACGATTTGCAAAATTGCTACAATTTTACAAGCTTTGAGAGTGCACCTCCAAAGTTGAATTACTTTTAATATCGTTCCATTCAGAAACTTATCTTCACTTTAAACCGTTTCATCGAGTCACACTCATTTTAAACGACATTTCTCGAACAATTTACCCGAAAACGTCGAATAACGGATTTCAAAATCGTTTTAATATCGCGTGACTGGAATATATCCTTGGTAGGGAATAATTTCATTAAGCATTGTCGCGTGCAATTTTATTAATCTTCATCTCGGCCCTACCGTTACTTTCATATCTCGCGTGTTTCTTGAATAATTCAGCAATGAAGGTGACCGGGTAACTTTAAAATATTCACCTCTTCGTTTCAACATTTCCTATTTTTCCATGCTTTCACCATGAAAAATTGTTTCCTCGATCGCGTTTATAATGCGTTTGTTGCAATCCAAATTTATCGTCGACGCCATTCGAAACAAATATTTCCACAGTTACTTTATAGTTTCCCTTCTTCGTTATTTTCCAGAATCGAGAAGGGTGTGCAACTTGGAGGACGTGTCTTGCTTGTCCAAGCATAAATGTAAGCTCTGTCGAAATTCTTTCGAACATTGAATTGTTCCATCCAATTATTGCGCAACTTTTTATAATTATTACAAAAATTATATATAATTTCTCTATACTCGTAAATTTACACGGTAAAATACACGAATTTTCTGATTGGAATATCATAATATCTTCAAATTATAGCTAAATGGTTCTCGGTGATACCGCACGAGAATCTGTACAATATCGAAGACGTGAAGGATATTCTGAGTTGCGGTAAATGCTATCCCGAATGCAACAGTGTAAATTACAATGCCAAGATATCTATAGCCGATTTGGAATCGAATCAACACGTAGCTGAATTATTGTGAGTGTATATATATTCATTTTATATCGTTACGTTCGCTTTTACAAACGAATTATATTAATATATTCGAAGAAATAACGTGGAGATCAAGGATCAATCGGTGCTAACAATATACTTCAGAAAGTATGGCACGATCAGATTGAGGCAAGATGTGATTTATCGTTGGTACGAACTCATGGGTAAGAATATTTTATCGTTCAAAGAACCCGCGATATCCCTTTTTGTCTTTTATTTTTTCAACATTGAAAAGTACCGATTAATTCGTCATAATTTAAAAATCCTCCAAATAAAATTATCGTACACATCATTTTTTATCCTCTCCATCCTTTGTCGTTCCGTCCAAGAACAATCTCTGCGTACACATCGTATATTCCTTCAAAAAAGAGGGCAAGAAATATTTATCAAAGGCTTCGATTTACATTGAAATTCTTAGCTCAAGGTGTTGGAACACGATAAACGCTCGAGCCTAGGGGCAAACAACGGATAAGAAAAGATTTCGTGTTTGCGGCGATAAACATTTTGGAGAAAGTTCGACAACGGAAAGAGAGAGTAAAGATCATAAAATACAGACGATTTCATTGTGTAACGAAGGGTTTGGCGCGCGAGAAGTTTCTTACCGGGGTGTAATCTGTTGGCCGGCTGCAGGGGAGGAAAATAAAAGAACGGGAAGGAACAATCCCTGCTACCGGGCTTGATCCATTGCGCTATGTACACACTCTCTCTGATACCGGTTACAATGTAATGTAATGCACTCGGGATAAAGGACACACATTTTTCGTTAGTGAAAATCCACTCGCCCCTTTTCCTCGTTGGATACTAGAGAAACGACCCGACGACATATATGGAAAAAAACATGTAACCCGTGGAAATGCAAACATCATTTTTATCACGTGAAAATTCTTTCTTACCTTGCAAGCGTGATTGGAATTAGTATTATCATTATCGTGTTTGCCGAAAATGCGAATATGCCTTCCATTAAATTTTATATTTATAGGTAACGATGTATAGAAATAAAATTCCTTGAGATATATGATAATAAAATAATACTTCGCACGTACCTTCTGAAACAAATAAAATGTGTCATTTCAAATTTCCAACAAATAAAATTACGCGTTGAATTTTCACAAAGTTTAAATACCTGATCACGGCCAGTCGTATTATGAAGAGGGTTGAAAATTTTGTAACATTATCCAGAATTTTTCTCTCTCTCTCTCTTCCTTTTTTATATATTCTCCATCTTCCATCTCGAACATTTCCTTATTTAAATATATTCTAATTCGATTCTCGTGGGGCGAGAAAGTTAACCGTTCGATCGACGTTTTACAGGTGACGCGAGCGGTATTTGCGGCATCTTCGTCGGTTTCAGCCTGATTGCGATCGTCGAGTTCGCTTATTTCGTCGGCCTGTTCATGCTCGAGCTTTTAAAGGGACCAACTTCGCCCGACGGGGACGGGAAACGGGCCGAGAGCAAACAGCCACCGATACACACGATTTATTGGGGTGACTTGTATTCGCGCACGAGAACTACGACAAAGAATCAACGTGATCGGGCTATTCGTGGTAAATATTAGCACGTTACACGATATTCTCTTCCAATGTTTCGTTTGAATAATGCCTGTTCGCGCCGTTGACTTCACGGTCAAATTCTATCGTATTTATCGAATTTTCGTAAAAAATGATTTGTAGATCCATCGTCAAACAATTCACGGATGAGAATCAAATTTTTTCTGCATTTTTCTTATACATTTTATATATATATTGTGTGTCATATGTCACGCTTTATAGATATATATATATATATTTATAGATTTTAAGATCATATAATATATTAGAAATTTTAATATCTTAATATCAGACTTGTAAATTATTACTCTTCCTTGCATGTCCTGTTATATTTATTTTAATTATTTTCTTCAATATTCATTAATTATTAAGTTTATTTCATTGATTAAATTTAACAATAATTCTTCGTGTAAACAATAATGAAGTATTTGTCATTGATACGACGAAAAATAATTTATAATTTATTGGGTATTTCTTTCTTTA